TTGTTTTTTGTTTTTGTGTGTGTGTGTGTTTTTTGTTTGTTTGTTTGTTTTTTGTGAGTTTTGTTTTGTAATGAATACTTTGTCAACACTAAAACAAAAACACAACACCACCCAGAAGATTTTTCCTTAAAACATTAGATCCATGGCTTGCATGTCACAAATTAAGTTTGTTGAAAGGTGAGTCAAAATAAATGTTCACTCTTTTTTTTTTTTTTAATGTCTTATTGTGAATTATGTGATAGTTTACATGGGAGAACATTAGCTTTACATTCATCTTATCGTATATCGTTTCATTGCCATGGTTACAATCACCTCCATGCATCATCAACCAACCAAAGGGTATACCCTGCAAGGCTGCCCCTCACCCCTGCCCTCCTCTCCCTCTCTGGGTCTAAAGTCCCCAGCTGCTTCATCTCTCCACGTCATCATCTCTGCCTCCATCTCTGGCGTCATTGCTTCTCTGGATAGGGTCCCGTTCTCCACTCTTCTCCTTTGATGGTCCCAGGGACCTCCGCTCCTAGACTGAAAAGTCAATCATTCCCGTCCTTTTTCTATAAAACGTCTACCTTTACATTTTCAACCCTCACAGTCAGTCCTGATAACAATTATTCACTATTGCATCCCAAGACACCTATCCGCTTCTCCTTTCATCTGCCCCGCCCAGACAGATTGGATACTACTCAGTGGAGATTCTACCTTCCTCCATGCCCTCTGGAGCTAGGCTTCCTCTTGAAAGTCTGTAAGCCACTTTCTTCTTGCCTTTGTAGGCTCCCCATTTTGGGTAGCCAATGTCCAAGTTGCCCATCCCTGTCTACTCTGTGTATGGAGGGGGTGGGAATGATCTTCGCTGTAAAGATTTGTTCTCTCTTTTAAGCCACTGCATCCATAGGTGGTGTTGTTAGGTGCCGTAGAGTCAACACCAACTCATAGCGACCCTGTGCACAGCAGAATGAAACAATGTCCAATCCTGGGCCAACCTCACTACTGTTGCCACACTTGAGTCCATCGATGCTGCCACCTGGCCAATCCATCTTGTTGGGGGTCTTCCTCTTTTTCTCTGACCCTCCATCT